GTGCTTATTTTGCAGTTTGTTTTTTGTTTCAGCTGCCACCTCTTCGGTGACTCAGCAGTTTTGAGAGCCGGGTTTAGTGGAGCAGGCACTTCTTTTCGTACCCTTTTGTTACGCAAGCAGAGCAATAGCCCTCATTTTGCAGCTCCTTTGAAACAGGCATAATATACCTTAGTCATGTGGTTCATACAAAACAGACTTTGCCATCTCCTTGTCTTCCAGTGGGCTAGGCAGCTGGGCTTGACAGCAGCACAGGGTAAGCAGTAGGTGTGCTCAGAGCAGGGAGAGATGTGGATGCAACCACAATGATGAGCTAAAGTTTCTTTTTTTTCCTTCTTCCCCCCTCTTTCCCTCCTCTCTCTTCTCTCTCCCCCCTCTCTCCTCTCTCTTCTCCTCCCCTTCTCTCTCTCTCTCTCCTCTCCCCTCTCTCTCCTCGCTCTCCCCTCTCCTCGCTCTCCCCTCTCCTCGCGCTCTCCGCTCTTCTCTCTCTCCATGATTCCAGGGAACACAGCCCCCTCATTTTTTTTCTAAAAGGAACAGCAGTATGCTATAAGCTTATAGATGTACATACTTCATTTTTGCTTTGTCTGAATCATCATTTAAAAATGCTTTAACTTAGGACAGCTGCTGTAGACGTTAGCTTCAGACTTACCAGACTGGCGTGAAAGATCATTTCACTAATGTGTTAGCTGCTTCACTGAGACTTCACAATCCAAGTTTAACAAATTCAGTGATGTGTTCTGTATAAATGAGGGTTCAGGAATGTTGCATGCATGTTACATACTTTAAATTTTGGGGGTGGAGTTTCTTTTCAGAGGGAACACGGATGAGGAAATTCTGTCCTGTTTTTGTCTCCAGCTTTGCTGCAACTATGACAATTTCTGGAATTTTGTCTGTGTGTTTTTCTACTCCCCAGCCTCACCAAGGCATAGGGGTTTTAACATGCAGGAAGATCGTTGTCTGGTGGTGGAGAGTATTGGATTGCATATCGAATCAGAAATAGCCGACACCTTTTGATATACTGTGTCGTCATATAATGAAACCTTTTAGGAACACTTTCATTGAGTTTATGTCAGTCAGACACTGTGATACAACAGCCAAGGGGCTGCCAAACCCGTCTATGAAACAACCCTTTTTTTCTCAAGAGTTGCAGTGTAGATTCTTTTCACAGAGTCTCTTCCTTGCTCTCAAGATAAGAGGCTGCTCTTTAGCTGTGTTACCTTAGGAACCAGCCAGATAAACATCCAATAAAATCTTGTTTTCAGGAGTTTGTTTCTGAATATCAGTACAAAATCTCTAGCTTATTTTCAGTAAGGCCGTTTCCCCCTTCTCCCTTCTCCCAACGTTCACTATGCCAGACAATAGCATTTTTTCTCAGAGAGAGATGATTATGTCAGGCTTCCTCCCCCCCCCCGGCCCCAAGGAAATGCATGGCCTTCATTTTAGCCCTTAGGAGACAGGATTTCTTCAACATACCTTCTTAAAGTTGAGATGCTATATGATAAGATACGCAATACTTTCTACTATATCATCATCTTGATAAACAAAGTGTGCAAAGCTTTATAGCAAGGTAACTTTTCTATCACAAGAATCTTTTCAAGAAAGAAAAAAAAATGCAGCAGTTGCTTACACACCACAACATTGGAACTGATTTTTCCTATTGAGTAAAACCGTCTGTTTTAATAATAAAATTAAGTGGTTCCTAGGATAGCCAAGTACGGTAAATAAAAAAACCCTGAAATTCTAGAATGTGCTTAATATTTAAAGCTTTTTTTTTTTTTTCTTCTTAACATGGTGAAACTATTGCTATTGAAAAATGTTTTTTTTTCCCCCCTGCTGGATCCTAGAGCATGATCTCTTGCTCGGTAACCAGGAGCTGAAAGTGACAGGCGAATTCAGGAGCTGTGCTGCAGTGCTTTCGCTACAGCTGAAATGTATTAAGGGAATTCATCAAAAAGTGGGGGAGGGAGCAGCCCAGCGCTCCACGTACCTGCACTTCTGGAGCGTTTTTCCAGTAGAACTGTTGGAGTGGCTCAGAGTTTGTAGAAAACCTGCCAGTTTTTACATGCTTTTCATATAATGCTGCCTGGTAAAGGACAGTGTAGTCTTACTAGTTGATAGATTACCCTTGTTGAGTCTCTGTAACTTGAGAAATAAACATGCCATGACATGGATCTGAACATTTTATTTCATCTTCTGTTCCTTTATTTGCACACCTTTCCTCTTTTTTTCTTTTTCTTTCCTCTCCAAGTCTCAGCGAGAAACAGTCTGGTATTTATTCCAAGTATTCTTATGAATGACCATTGCTTTCCTGGGTCAGAGGGTATCTTTTGTGCCTTCTCTGTTCTGAGTATTGTTTTGAAATCATTAATCCCGTGTCTTACACGCAGGCGGTGTGTGTTGTTCTAGAGCTGATCAAGTAAGTTGCATAGATTAATATGATGCATGTTTCAATGAAATATTTAATAAATGCAAGTTTTTATTATTCACTTGTTGAAAATCAAACAACACACATCTGAGGTATGCACTAGAGAAGACCACTTGGTTCAATATTCTTGAATCGTGATTAATTTGCATTAGAAACATTTTAATGCTCTTCTGGCAATATACTTGGAATATTATTTTTCTGTGTTCTGTAGTTTTACAGGTTTCAGGAATGAGCCTGACACCAATCTTAATGTTGGAGTTGATTTGATTTGAATAAATAAGAGCACAAGGAAAATGTTTTTTCTTTAAATATCAGGATTGTTTTAACTATAATAGTTTAGTCTATGCAAGTTAGATACTTTTTTTAATTCACTTTTGAAAAACTTTTGTCTTAGGTTCACCTTCTATGTTACTGAGTTAAAATTAATTCTGCATGTATACATTATGTGCAGAATGAGGGAGAAATAATCTATGTTCTAGCAAACTTTATAAACTTTACAGTACCATTGAGAAATTTTTTATCCTCAGTATTTATAGAAAATAATAAAAATGCTGGTGCTCTCCTTTTGTTTTTCTTCTCTGAATGAAGTCACTTTTAGCTGAAGGTTTTTTCTGCATGTATACATTATGTGCAGAATGAGGGAGAAATAATCTATGTTCTAGCATAAACTTTAAACTTTACAGTACCATTGAGAAATTTTTTATCCTCAGTGAAAATAATAAATAATCTATGTTCTAGCAAACTTTATAAACTTTACAGTACCATTGAGATATCCTCAGTCCTCAGTATTTATAGAAAATAATAAAAATGCTAGTGCTCACTTTTTGTTTGGAAAACTTTTCAAAAATTAGATAAAAATGGGAGAAAGAGGACAAGTTCAAGTAAAAGTAAAACCCAAAATTACGTAGGTGCTGGTCTTCAAAGGTAGTTATTGGAAGATGTAGATAATTGTGTAGTGGAGGATTCAGAAGTGGTGAAGCAGACTAGCTGTCCTCTTCCCAAAGTTAAGCATGAAATATGTTTCTAGTCAGCAGAATCCAGCTTTTCATTCAGTTAACTACATATGATTCCTTCCTTTATTTGGTAAATCTGATAGTTTTAAAAGCAGAGCATGTTTTGATAAATCCTTCTAGTTATGATTCCAGCACATTTAAGTTTCTTTTTTATTAGTGGAATTAACTGTAGAATGCTGTTTTCATACACTGTGAATTCCAGTTTTCATCCAAATGCTGCCTGACACAGATCCAAAGGAAAACTATTGTCTTGTTAAATAAGGAATGTGCCATTCACCATTTTATAATGTACTAAATTTAAAAATTAATAATCAAAATAAATGTCTGCTTAACTATGTAATTGCTAGAATGACTATGAGATATATTGGCTAGGAAAATCAGTTTGTAAAAGTTGAATTTGGTTGTAAACCACGTTATGCAAACCAACAATAGCGATCCTTTCTTTTAGAAATTAAATATCCCAGTGCACAAGAAGATTAAATTCAGCTATATAAGTTAGGTTTCCTGCTTCCTTTTATTCATTTACAATTATAACTGGGGTGATTGTTGATCCCTTTTTTGCTTTTGGTCAATCCATCTTGGTTAGGTGTGCATTTACACCCCCACAAAAACCTTCTTGACTGGATTCCTAGGTTTTGGTGGTACTTTGCAGATTTATGCTATCTAAGAGGTTAATCTTGGAATACGACGAACTGATAAATGCTGTATTGTGAAGTCTGTACTTCTGAGTGATGATTCCTGTGTGAAAGCTGTGTGCGAATTACTTTGTTTCTGCTTAGAAACTGCTTGAAGTCCAGCTCTTTGTTCCAAAGATATGCGGACATTAAATGTTTGGACTATTTGTTGTTTTGTCCATGCAGTGAAAGAAAGCCTTCCAGTGCTGGAACGCTTTAGTTCTTTAAGGTATAAAATTAGGAACATCCTTTATGTTGGGGAGGACTTTGTTTTTCAATTACTAATAAAAGTTTTAACTTTGGCTGCTATTTCTTCTCCTCTTGTGGCAAGTATGTGTTCAGCCATTAATTTAGTACATATTTGAACAGTGTGTTCGTGAGGGCAGCCACTGAGGCGGTATCTACACAGTTATGCGACTGAGATCTCAATCCAGAGCCAGCATCGTGATCCCATGTTGTAATAGCTGCAGCCGCTTTTGAAATCTTCCCAGTCGTACATACCTTAGTACAGCACTGAGAAGATTTTTAAATAGATTCATCAAAACTTGTAAAGGCAAAGTGGCAGCTCAAATAATAGCCTGCTATATGCAGTTTCATTGTATCTGTCTTTATTAGATAAGGGATGTGGAATTTTGTCGTCTTATTGGTTATGTCATACATCTCAGGTAATTCATCTTAGCTTAGGATGTAGGACATGTAAGAGAAATACTGTCAAGGAGGAAATGCAGAATCATACAATGGCCACGTCTGCAAAATCAGCTCGACTTTATTATTGATTTTGAGTTTGAGGATCTAACTAGTTATGTAGTTATAAAGATTCAAACATTTTGGTATGAAAAGAAATTTTATTCACCTTGTTAATTCTGCCTTGAATATATTTCCTCTCAGTCCTGGTCAAAGCCGCCCATCGATGGTCTCATGGATGAATACTCCGTCTGCTAACCCAGCTGCTACAAACACTGCATCATCCACTTTCTTCTTCCCTAACCCTGCCACTGGGAGTGACAGAACAGTGGAAAGGTATGATGTACATTTCAACTTTTGCTGGTTATTTATTAGCCTCCTTTTTTCTGTATCTTTTTAAAAATAGCTAATTCATGTCTTCTGCAGTATGTGAATGATTATCTCAAATCAAGAAATGCAACCTTAGCAACTTTGGCAGAATAAAATAACTGTCTACTTTGTCTTATTTTTCCTTTGAACACCTTCCTTGTAGAAGGCACCCAGATTGAGCCAGTGGCTTGTTGGTTAATACAAGCAGACTTTGATTTGGGTGGTCAATTCAGTGTATCTCTACTGCAGTGATTCTCTTACAGTGTCTTTTAAAATACAGATTCTTTCTTGTCTGTAGCCACCCATGTCAAATTTAAGTTTCTCAACATAGCCTTCTTGCCTCTGAAAGACTTTCCCATGTCTTTACCTGTCTCTGGTTTCATTCTTTTCTTTCACTCTTTTGGCCTGCTTTCCTTCCATCCTGTTTCTGCTTCCTTCCATGTTGTTGTCCATCTTTTGAAGTATTTTCACTTTTTCCTTTGAAGGTCTTCACCATCTTAGCTTTTTCCTTCCCAAGTTTTATAATATTTGCTTTTCTAATTAAAGTAGTTGGGTATATTTATCAATTCTTTCCAACGCTTGGTAACAAAATTCCATTTCTCACTATTGGTCACATTTTGCACCAGAATTGCATTGTCTGTTTGACTGCAAGTTCCTTGGGGCTGGGAGAATCTTTCCCAATGTTTTATGTGTAGTTGTTGTTGCCTGGGCTCAACAAAAGATGATTTAATGGTGTGGGTGCTGTGTCTAAACAAAGCATCACTGGGCAGCAGCAAACTGTCAGTTTGCAAAGGCGTAACATAATAAGACGTGCCAAAAATACTTATATATTCCAAGATCTCTGCTTATGGTACTTGGAGAAATGAGTACTTTGGACAAATTCATATTGATGGCTTATTACTGCATCCTGAGAACACCTCTAAAAGACTGCCTGAAACGTTAGAAATCTTACTGCGTTTAGGATAAAACAGCATCTTCAGTAGTCTAGTAATGTTGTACTGTAAACACATATAAGAAGTGAATTCTGTACAGTGATAGTAAAAAGCTGAATTGCAAGATTCATGAAGAAACGTTTCAGAAGATATAATGATTAGTCTGTAAATTAAGTATAGTATGCTTTGCCTACTATTGATTTCATTGCTGATTAGCACTTGGCAAAATTTTAACTGTAGTTGAAAGTCGAGTTTATCATAAAAATAAGTGTGCATAAAGTTGGGAGTATGATATTCAGAAATGCCAACAGTAAGCTGTGAAGCTTCAGCTTTGGCATTTGTGTGTGTGAATTATAAGCCTGTAATGATGCATGTGAGATTGTGTTTAAAGTTTTAGTCATCTCCAAGTGAGAATGGAGAGAGAATGGTTGAGAAAGGAGAGTGTCTTCATAATAGTGAAAAATGACTATAATGCATAATTTCATTTTTCAGCATTGCCCACCGAAAAGCAAGAGCAGTTTATCCATGCGAAGCAGAACATAGCTCTGAATTATCATTTCAGATAGGAGCAATTTTTGAAGATGGTAAGTACTGCTTGAGTAAATATAAAGCAATGAAAAACAAATTGACAAAACTGCTAAAATGGCTTTGGATAAAAATACAAGCCTAACTGCTATTCTGCCAACGTTGCTGATGGCACACAGTTGGTGACGTAGAAGATTTCTGGTATGCAGAAGCTACTTAGCATATACTTAGCACTGTGAGGCAATGCCTTTGATTTCTGGTGAGTAGACACTTTCAATTGGTCTACTTTTTCAGCGGCATTTAAATGTCTTGTAGTACCAAAAAAGGTTATTCAGCAATAGAGAAAAACATCTTGGCCTATGAAACTGTGGGTTTTTTAAATGTGAACTATTGTTGTAAAATAACATATGGGCTTTCATTTAAAGAAGAAAAAAAAAAAATCTGTTTAAGGATTTTTAAACAAGCAGAGCTCCGGGTAAATCGGGTAGATCACTGGAGAGAAAATGGAGTGTTTACTTTTTGGATCAAGGGGTGCCTTAGTGTGTGTATGTACTTGTAGAAAAAGGAATATTCACTGAGGTGCAGAACGAAGGCCTGTGTTTGAAGATTTCTGTGGACCCAAATATAGTATTACGTATGAACATCCAGAAGGTGATTCCTGTGCTCAAGACTGTGTTGCTCCTCAATGAGCTTCCACGGCTCTATTCTTCAGCAACTGCACAGGGACTTCAAACTGATAGGAACAGGTTTAGTTTTTAAACCTTATGCCAATGACTACTGTAATACAAATTCTGAAGATGCAGAAGATGACATTAGAGCGTAGTTTCTTCCTATCACAAGGAAATGCTTATTGTAAGAAAGAGATGGTATGGAATGGCTCAACAGGGCCTGGACAGATTCAGCAATTCTTGTTACTTGAATGCAATTTAATATTAAGTCTAAGCAGAAATTAATTCATAGCAGCAGCACGGTAAGACCGTTGTTTGTTACAAGGCCTTGATAAAAAATTACATTCATTCTAAAAACCAGAAGACTCTTAAGTTTGGCCAAGTCTTCATCCAAGTTTTGTGCAGACTGGGGGATTCAAAGTGATCTGAGAATTACATCCCTAAGAACCTTGTGAGTACTGAGACCAGTGTTTCAGTCTTTCAGGCTGTCTAGAGGCAGGGGGGTAGTAAGAGGCATACTGGCCTCTAAAGAATCTGGAAATTCTGCAGTGGTGCCCGTTTTCTTCTCATCCATTGTCAGCTTTTAGCTTGCTACCAGGTCAGAAATCTGATACGTGCTTTCCAGAGGGGAAGTGGTGTTTAATTCTGCATGATCAAACGCACTTATGGGAGGTACTGCCCCGTCATTCAAATACCACATGTGAGAGTCTTTGGTTGGATGTCCAATAAAGGAGGAGTATTCCAAATTCCCAGTTTACATCCAGCAGGAAAAAGAGAAAAGTACACAGTCTAAAACAGCTGGAAAACATCAACCTGCAGGCATTAAAAAGCTAACTAAATATGTCTCGTATATCCCAAAATGCACCCTGTTAACTCTGTTAGCACTGGATCAAAAGTGTATGTGGGAAAGTTCTTCTCATAAATGAACATCTTTTCGTCCTGTCCTCCCCAACCCCAGTAGAATGTTCCTAATTTGTTTAACGAGCTGAAACAAATGGGCAACTTAGCAGAATCTTTTTTTTTTTTTTTTTTTTAAC